CGCTTCACTTCACATTGGCCTCACGTGCATATAAAGTGCTGTTCAGTCTCCCGCTGGAACTAAAAGAAGTCGTACGAGACACGCCACCAATTGATTTGCACCACAGTCCCTCTATCACCGGTCTCGAAACGCCTATTGTCTGAGGGGGGATTAGCAATAAACATCCAGTGAATGCGTGTAGCGGTTGTTGGTGTCGCCATGGAGGTAATAGGAATTTTATTATTATTATTATTCTTATTACCTCCATGGTGTCGCATAATCACGATAGATAGAGACTGTGTTTGCACGTAATGACTAGAAATTGTCTATAGCGACAACGCCTGTAAATGTGCGACTTGGCACATAAGCAAAGTACGCAAAAATATATTCACATTCAAGTTGGTATTTTATAATTGTTGTGTGAAAACACGATTTCAGTTGTAATCCCGACATTTGTATGACACAGAGTCGAGCCAAAAAATCTAAACAACACAACGTGAAAAAAAAAACCATACAATATACGACTTCTCAGTCCTATTGTAATTTATACTTACATCACCGTGACTGGAAAAAGATCTCGGCCTGCATGGTGTATGAACTGAATTCGTTTGAACTTGGTGCTTGATGAATCACGCGCGGATTTAGGGGAGGCGCGCCAGGTGCGCGCTCGCTCATCAGCCCGAAAAAAATAACAAATCAATTGACAGACCCAGCCCACCGGAGGCCACGTCAATGGGAGCGCTCCTTACCGAATTTCTGGATCTACTAGTGTGCACGTCTTCAGAGTGTCTGTTTCGCGCTCACGGACACTGAGCGCGAAACACACAAAGGAGGTAATGAGTTCGGTGTGTCTGTATGTGTAATTACAACATATGTACTTTAGGGTATTACATAGACATGTTTGGTTTTGGGACCATGTTTATGCATATTAACCATTTCCTTTCAGCCTGTGCATGCAAAATCTTAAAAACTTTAAAGCGGATTTTAATCCAATTTGATACCAAGGTACCTTGGGATAATGGCAGACATATTAAGTATGTAATTTGCATATTGTCTCAAGCCATTCTGTGTAAGCTTATTCTTATAAAGTTTAGAACGGATTTGTTTTGATGAAATTTGCTATTTATTGATGGTGAACATTTGCTGGCTGATTATCTTAACCTCTAATGATGTCAATGCTCTTTCACTGACTGTTCGCAATTTTTCATTTCCTAGTTATTTTTTTTTTATAAAACAACAATGCTCGCAAATCTTTTGCATTCACATGGGAGCTTTGCAGAGTTTATCTTTTATTTATAATGAATGCTGTTCCGAAAGCCATTGACATATCGAGACCGTGTAATGGATTTACTGTATACTGTACGTTGGACTAACTGATAATCAAATAAACAAAAAAACAACAACAAATAAATACATAAATAAGTAAAACCACTAACTAATATGATCAATTTGGTAGTTAAAATTGAATTAATAAATAAAACAGAAAATATAATTCTTTCATAGTGATGTCTCAATATTTAAACTGGTAGTAAATGGAAACGCGAGAAAACAGAACTTTTGTGATTCATACTCGGCAGCGATCGGAAATCTTGATCAGAATCCGACAACGACGCCGGCCGTCAGAGGGCGCAGACAATAATGTCTTTTCGAGAGTATATTCCGTCATACCAGGTTACAAAAGGTAACTTATCTTTACCATTTACACAAGAACGCGGACCAACCTCAAACTGCACTTTGTAAAGCGTATGACATCAAGTCGGATGCCCTGCTGTCTGACATGTGTGTGTAACATGTCGTTTAGAAATGTTTGTGGGCGTGAAAAAAAAAATAATGTAAGGGTGAATTTGATTGGCTGATGAAAATCAGACTATCGGAGTGCTTTTTTTATGTTATGTTTTTATACATAATGAAAGAAATGTTCGCAAATAAAATCTCCGCTAGATATGCCTGTTATGTTGACCAATGCGGTATATAGATGTCACAGATGTTTGCAGAATCAACGAAAATTTCCCCCTGACTCTCCGACAGGGTAACCAATCAGGCTCGTTTTAACAACCAAGCTAGGTCCTTGTACGCATGCGTTTAGGTATTGGTTCTCTTGGACTATTTCAATATGGCGGCTGATAGCATGGCGTGACTTGCTACATTTTCTTCGAAATGTCTCTTTTTCATACGGTAAGCTAGGTTTATTTTGTCCAGTATGGCCGATTAGCACATGCCAGAGTTATTTGCGAAGGCATGAACGATATGTCCTTGATACTGGCCCAGTATAAACCGTCCATTAAAGTGGTCTATCCGTACCGTTTTTACGTGGGCTGGTTGGCCGGTTGGCCATCCCGTACAGTCATATTTTCCACTGTGGAGGAGGGGCTCGTTGTGAGTTTTTGTGAGTGCCGCATATTCCAGTTCGTTTTTTCAACAACGTAATTGAGTTAACAGTTCCTGCGAAATGAACGTTTTGGTTTGGACAGCGTGGCCAAAAGGAGTAATAGTGTGTTAAATGCATCAGCCGACATGTAAACCATGCCCCACAATGTTCTGGTTCTGTAGATGACCCCGTCAGTGTCCATGGTTTAAAGTTGAATGACCCAGATTGTGGTACAAGACATGACCTCTTCTCAACACTGTTCAAAGCCTTTGAAATTGTGTCAACAGTTCTGATACGTTCTTTAACTAGGTGCCCTAAAATGGTGCTGGAATACAAAAATAAACTGTTTCTCAAGTTCATCTTCTGAATTCTTGACATGCCTTCCATCATACTGTGTAAACTGTTCAATTTTTGCTGATTTTCTTGAACTTTTCATGAAAGTTTTTGCGACTTTGTCAGGAAGCTTGTTAATTTTTCAACTCAGAAAAAATTGTTGTGATTTTCACTTCTCCTGAAAATCACCAATATTTGGCTTCCGTGAAATGAAGCAGACTGCATATTATGTCACATTGAAATAATATCCTTCATTCATAAACATGAACTCTATATGCAAATATGGGGGTCATAATCGATTCGTGATGTCAGGGAGTTTTGATTACGTGATTTTAAATATTTCGTAGCTATTAAAATAATGTTTCAAACCCCAAACCATTATCAAAATTAAATTTTACATTACCCTTCTCCCTCCTACCCCCAAAACCGTGTCTTGTGCAAATAAACTCCTATGAGACGACATTACACACACGCTATTTCTACCAAAGGAATTAAAAGAGGACTGAGGGGAAAAGGGTCTGTTATTTCTGCAATCTGTTGTTCTTGGTTTAATGTTAAATCTGATCAACAATCAACTTTTTCAATTCGGATCATATTTGAGTTGTTTTTTATTATCAGTGTTATAAAAAGATCAATAGTATTGGTGAATTGATTCTCTTTGTACACAGTTTTGGAATGAGGATGCCGATATACTTTAGACACCGAGATGCATGTTTGCCAAATAAACCATGCATATTGCTGCTGATTTATACTAATGGTAACTCAAACCTTGAAAACAGCTGCTAGCACTCCATCACAGTTTTAACAACTCTCCAACTTTTTACCTTACTTTCCTGATCATAAGCCCAGGGGCCTCAACATGTAAACACAGGGAAAACAAAAGGTTGACTTATACTCAAGGACGACCTCAGAAAAGCTGATTTTTTTTTGTGGTTTAACATTGTAACTACTTTTACAGTGAAGAAACAAACATTTTCATAAAAATACACACATTTTATTAGCTCGGCTGTCGACTTTGTCGAGCGGAGCTTATCATATGAGTGATTGTCCGTCGTCGTCCGTGTCAATGTTTTACTTTTTCGACTTCTTCTTGAAAACTACAAGCCTGAATGCTTTGATACTTGGTGTATTTGTACCTTGGGTAGACCTCTCTCAGATTTGTTCATTTCATGATCATATCTTCAATTCCCTAATTTTGGTGAATATTTGTCATTTTTGGTAAAAAGTGATATTTTCGA